CCTGGTGGCACGTTTGGGTCATGGGCCAGTCTTCTGCCTGGGCCTCGAGGCGGCGTGCGGGAAACTTCGCACGGGGCCAGGGCGAGGATACGTCCCTTCCAGAGCGTTCCGGAACGCTCTCAGAGCGTTCCGGAACGCTCTGAGAAGGCCGCGGCGCCCGAGACATCTTCCAGAGCCGCGGGATCTCAGAGATTCTTGGTGTACGTATTTTCGATATATTTATCTATCAGATTCTAGATTCTCTTCGATTCTCGATTTATCCTCGTCTTGGTTTCGTCCTGTTCTGCCAGGGTCTCGAGACCGCGTGCGAGGAGTTGAGCTGCTGCGTGCCAGGCGATGGGGCTCGTAGGCGTCGGAGCTGGACGTGCTCTAGCCTCTTGCGGTGGACGCTCCTGTTCATCGAGTAGGGGATCGACTGCAGAGTTTAGTCGGGCCTGTCCCTCTACAGGGCGAATATGCAAAAATAGAAGAATAGTGTGAGGACGATGTTTTAAATATATGTTCGACTATGTTTGGTGATGTTTGAATGTTTTTGTGATTTGTCGTCCAAAATCCGCCTGTAGGGGGACATGCCCGGCCTAACTGCAGAGTTGATTTGCCCCAGGAAAGATGTTCCCCATCGAAGCTACGTATGGAAGTTGCCGCAACATCTACTGAGAATGTTGAATAGTTTCCCGTAGGTTCGACGAGAACATCGAGTTTGGGATAAACCAACGTTGTATTCGATCCGTGGGCGGATTCCTGGGCGAAGTCGCGACGCTGTGCGTGTTCGATGTGCGAATATGTTCTGTAGCTCGGTTTTGCACAGGGCATGCGGAACGTCGCTTCGCCGACGTTCGCACTTCTCGCGCGGGGCACAATACCCTTAAATCGGGCATGTCCCTCTGCAGGAGGAATGTTCAAACATAGTCAACAAATATGTTGGGGACGTTTTTTTGTAGTATTTTCATCCGTTCTTGTTAACATGTTCTGGCTACTTGTAATTTGTCGCCCAAGATCCCCCTGCAGGGGGACGGGCCCGCCGTAACAGCAGCCGCAGGAGGCCGCCGGCTGCCGCCTCCGGCGCCCCCGCCCCCACAGAATCTTTGCGCCTCTGCCCGCGAGGCGCTGGGGGAGGTGAGCGACGAGCTGGGGATCTTCGAGCGCGCCATGGACCTTCGACGCCCCTCGGGGGGTGCAGAAATCGCGACGGGAGGTTCTTCGCCTCCTCCTTTTCCTCCTCCCCTTCCTCCTCCTCGTCTTCCTCCTCCTCGTCCTCCTCCTCCTCCTCCTCCTCCTCCTCCTCCTCCTCCTCGTCCTTACAGTCGGACCTCGGAGGAGGAAAGGGTACCCATACTGCTACCCTTCCTCACTTTCCCCTTCTTGGGCCTCCTGGGAGGCCCTCGTCGCCACCGCTGGACCCGCCCCGAGATCCGGGTGAGAACGCACCCCGGGAGAGGTCCAGGGAGCAGCGGTATTGGTACCTGTTGGTGTCCCCGAGACCCCCCCCCAGCTGGGGGGGTCCTGGGGAAACCTAAACAATTATTTCTAGTATCTCTTGCAAACAATTGGAATCAGGTATCCCACATTTCTAATATTTCTGGCAGAAAAATAAGTTATTTCTGGGACCCCCTGGGACCCGAATTATCAGTTCTTTCTAAATAGAGAGGGTCATGAAAAAAAACGCGACAGGATGTTTCTCGCTATTCTTCTAGCCTCTGGTGGAACCCTGCCCGGGCCTCGGGACCGTCAAAAAACGGTTCGGGATGAAAAAAAGTGGGTCCCGGGGAAGGGGCCCAGACCTCTGAGGGCCGACGTGGTGACAAACATCACGACTTCGGGGGTCTGGGCAGTTGGCAGGCCCCAACAAATATGCAGCACCACCACGTCGATTTCTCCCCCCTCCTCTGCCCTCGGGGTCATCCAAAAACGACTCAGGACGAAAAAAGCCCGTCCCGGAAAAAGTCACGACGCTGAGGGGTCTTGGGACGGCGCTCTGCAGCCAGCCAGGGGAGGAGGGCCGGGGGATCTCGGCGAGGCCTTCCCACCGATATGCGGGCCTGGCCCACCCCGGGCCCGGGTTCGGCGCCCTCCTGTGCTTGGCCAATCCATGGAGGCATGTACACGTCAGTCGGGCATGTCTCTCTACAGGAGGAGTCTTCAAAAAGAGCCAAAACATAGTCTGGGGGCGATTTTTCGAGTAAGGACGCGCGCCTTTTCTAGGGTACCCTTGTGTCCTTGCCTCTGCGGCCCGTCCTTTGCCGTTTCCATTGGGGTTTTGGTCGCCCGCCGCCCAAGAAATCCCAACTTTGGCCTCCAAGGGTCTTGCGTCCTTGCCACCCGTCCTTAATATACGTTTTCATTGTACCTTTTTCTTATTTTCAATTGAAAAATATTCTTCACTATGTTTCATTTTGTCTTCCAAAATCCGCCTGTAGAATGTATACCGACCTTGGGCCCAGGATCGGCCCGGCCGCATCCTGTGAGGCGGGCAGTTGACATGCCCCCGAGGAGGATGCATCGAAGAAAAAAATGTTCGAGAGCCCAGCTACAAGGGGAACCAATAGGAAAGGGGGGAAGAGGGAGGGGAGGGGAGGAGGGGAGGGGAGGGGAGGGGAGGGAAGGGGGAACAGAGAGGGGAGGGGGGAAAATAGGGAAGGGCGGAAGAGGGAGGGGAGGAGGATGGAGCGAGTGGGGATGTCGATAGGGCGGGATGCTGTCGATGGGGAAATTCCAGGTCGCCCCCCCCCGTTGCGCAGAAGCAGCCATGGGCTGCGCCTGTCGCGGCGCCTGGGCCCGAGCAGCGCCCTGCCACCCCCCGCCATGGCCCCCGGGGGTGGGCCGGCGCGAGGGCGCGAGAGCGCCAAGGCAACCCTTTGGGGGGCGGCGCGAGGGCGCGGGGGCGCCCCAGACGTGATCGCGTCGTACAGAAATCGGGACGGGAGGTTTCTGGCCCTTTTCGGCCTCGGGGGGCCCTCGCCGGACCTCGGGTCCGTCGAAAAGCGACTGCGGACGAGAAGCCAGTCCCCTCGGAAGGGTCGGGACTTCCCGTATTGGAAACAATCAGGACGTCGCATGTCTGGGGCGACGGACCCCGCGCGCGATGTGAGGGAGGAAGCAAAAAAAACGCAGATTGAGCCAGCATTCGCGCGTAAGCTGCCCGCGTAGCCCTGAGGTCCTGGCGTTGCAATTTTTCCACAACCGGCGGTTTCGCTTAGTTTCCAATATCGGGTCCCAGGACCCTCACAGATCGATCCAGCTCGAACAATGACGCAGAAAGATGGGGGCTGGGGCTCCGGAGCGCCAGGGCAGCCCTTTGGGGGGTGGCGCGAGGGCGCGGGGGCGCGACGGTATTCTGGGTGGGATATATTAGTCGAGGGGCGGGCGTCTAACCTTCCGACGGAGCTTGCCCATCCCCCCCCCCTCCTCCATCTCCACCTCCTCCACCTCCTCCTTCTTCCTCCTCCTCCTCCTCCACCTCCTCCTTCTTCTCCCTCCTCCTTCTCCCCCTCCTCCTCCTCCTCCTCCTCCTCCTCCTCCTCCTTCTCCCCTCCTCCTCCTCCTCCTCCCCCTCCTTTTCCTCCTCCTCCTCCTCTTGCTCCTCCCTCCCCTCCTCTTGCTCCTCCTCCCCCTCCTCCTCCTCTCCTCCTCCTCCTCCTCCTCCTCCTCCTCCTTCTTCTTTAACCCCCCCGCCCCCGTTCCGACAGCACGTGCCCAACCCCCCCAGCAGATCCAGGGGGGGGGGGGGCGATGATTACCCCTAGGCAACCCTTTTGAGGGTGGCGCAAGGGCGTGGGGGCGAGACAGCAACCGCGCGCGATGTGAGCGACAAAAATTACCCTGGCGACGTACCCAACCCCTGCGCAAAAGCGGGGCGCAAATAGTTTAGGATACTTTATAAGGGGGCGATGACGGAGCGAGGGTTACATATGTCTGCAGACGGAATTCGGGAGACTCGCAGGACACTGGCTACAGGAAAAGGGCTTGATAAAGCTGATGATTTACAATTCCTGAACACTCCTAGCCACTTCGAAAACGGGGATCACAGCAGGCCTCGAAAGTGGCGACAGGTTCACAGATCGCAGCCCCGCAGGGATGGCGAGGTCTCATTTGAATCTGCCCGTGGCCCTCACTGTGCTGGGCCCCCCAGCAGGCCTCGAAAATGGCGGCAGTTTCGCAGATCGCAGCCCCCCAGGGATGGCGAGGTCTAATTTGAATCCGCGCGTGGCCCTCACTGTGCTGGGCCCCCCAGCAGGCCTCGAAAATGGCGACAGTTTCGCAGATCGCAGCCCCCCAGGGATGGCGAGGTCTAATTTGAATCCGCGCGTGGCCCTCACTGTGCTGGGCCCCCCAGCAGGCCTCGAAAATGGCGACAGTTTCGCAGATCGCAGCCCCCCAGGGATGGCGAGGTCTAATTTGAATCCGCGCGTGGCCCTCACTGTGCTGGGCCCCCCAGCAGGCCGGCCTCGAAAATGGCGACAGTTTCGCAGATCGCAACCCCCCAGGGATGGCGAGGTCTAATTTGAATCCGCGCGTGGCCCTCACTGTGCTGGGCCCCCCAGCAGGCCTCGAAAATGGCGACAGTTTCGCAGATCGCAGCCCCCCAGGGATGGCGAGGTCTAATTTGAATCCGCGCGTGGCCCTCACTGTGCTGGGCCCCCCAGCAGGCCGGCCTCGAAAATGGCGCGACAGTTTCGCAGATCGCAGCCCCCCAGGGATGGCGAGGTCTAATTTGAATCCGCGCGTGGCCCTCACTGTGCTGGGCCCCCCAGCAGGCCTCGAAAATGGCGACAGTTTCGCAGATCGCAGCCCCCCAGGGACGGCGAGGTCTAATTTGAATCCGCGCGTGGCCCTCACTGTGCTGGCCCCCCAGCAGGGCTCGAAAGTGGCGACAGTTTCACAGATCGCAGCCCCCCAGGGATGGCGAGGTCTAATTTGAATCCGCCGCGATTACCCTCTATGCAGGACCCCCCAGCAGGCCTCGAAAGTGGCGACAGTTTCACAGATCGCAGCCCCCCAGGGATGGCGAGGTCTAATTTGAATCCGCCGCGTGGCCACTGTGCTGGGCCCCCCAGCAGGCCTCGAAAGTGGCGACAGTTTCACAGATCGCAGCCCCCCAGGGATGGCGAGGTCTAATTTGAATCCGCCGCGATTACCCTCTATGCAGGACCCCCCAGCAGGCCTCGAAAGTGGCGACAGTTTCACAGATCGCAGCCCCCCAGGGATGGCGAGGTCTAATTTGAATCCGCCGCGATTACCCTCTATGCAGGACCCCCCAGCAGGCCTCGAAAGTGGCGACAGTTTCACAGATCGCAGCCCCCCAGGGATGGCGAGGTCTAATTTGAATCCGCCGCGATTACCCTCTATGCAGGACCCCCCAGCAGGCCTCGAAAGTGGCGACAGTTTCACAGATCGCAGCCCCCCGCAGGCAAGACAGGAAGAGGCAGGCAGGAGGCAGGAGGGAGGCGGGAGGAGACGCGACCACACTGCTCTATTCAAAACGAATACCCAACCAAGGAGGGTTGGGAAAAAAAAACACGGGCCGATTGGCCGACATTCGCGCGTAAACGGCCCACGTAACCTTGAGATCCCGGCGCTGCAATTTTTTTCACAACCGGGGTTTTCGCTCAAGTTCGGGCCCTGGGACCCTCACAGATCGAACCAGCTCGAAAAATCAGCGGAAGGATGGTGTCTGGGGCTCCGGTCGTAATTTTTCCCGCCTATCCTGTGGTGTTGGGTCCTCGTTTTGAAGAGACAGCGCCTCGCGTCCCTCCTCTCCTCTCATCTCCTCTCCTCTCTTCTCGTCTCCTCTCCTCCTCCTCCTCCTCCTCCTACTCCTCCTCCTCCTCCTCCTCCTCCTCCTCCTCCTCCTCCTCCTCCTCCTCCTCCTCCCCATCCTCCTCCCACTCCTCCCTCCTCCCATCCGCCTCGTCACCTCCCTGACCCACCCAGTACAGCGTTTCGTGGCCCCATAGGGAGCTCCACCGAAGGCTCCAGTGGCAGGGGCCGCATGCGTCAACGCCACCCAGGACAGCGTTGCCGCCGCCGTCGCCGTCCTCGCCGTCGTCCTCGACGCCGTCGTCGCCGACGCCGCCGTCCTCGCCCTCGCCGGCGGGCGGCGTCGCCGTCGGATCATCGTCGCCGTCCTCGCCGTCGTCCTCGGCGCCGTCGTCGCCGTCATCCTCGCCCTCGCCAGCGGGCGGCGTCGCCGACGCCTTCGCCGTCCTCGCCGTCGTCCTCGGCGCCGTCGTCGTCGACGCCGCCGTCCTCCTCGTCCTCGCCAGCCGGCGGCGTCGCCGACGCCGTCGCCGTCCTCGCCGTCGTCCTCGACGCCGTCGTCGCCGACGCCGCCGTCCCCTTCGCCCTCGCCGGCGGGCGGCATCCGTCGTCTTCGTCGCCGTCGTCGCCGACGCCGTCGCCATCCGCGACGTCGCCCTCGCCTTCGCCCGGCGTCGCCGTCGCCGTCGCCGTCCTCGCCGTCGTCCTCACCGCCATCGTCGCCGACGATGCCGTCCTCCTCGCCCTCGCCGGCGGGCGCCGTCGCCGACGTTGTCGCCGTCCTCGCCGTTGTCCTCGACGCCGTCGTCGCCGACGCCGCCGTCCTGCTCGCTCTCGCCGGCGGGCGGCGTCGCCGACGCCGTCGTCGTGCCCGCCGTCGTCCTCGGCGCCGTCGTCGCCGACGTCGCCGTCCTCCTCGCCCTCGCCGGCGGGCGGCGTCGCCGACGCCGTCACCGTCCTCGCCGTCGGATGGTTGCCGCAGTCCGACCGTCTTCGCCGTCGTCCTCGGCGCCGTCGTCGCCGACGCCGCCGTCGTCCTCGCCCTCGCCAGCGGGTGGCGTTGCCGACGCCGTCGCCGTCCTCGCCGTCGTTCTCGGCGCCGTCGTCGCCGACCCCGCCGTCCTCTTCGCCCTCGCCAGCGGGCGGAGTCGCCGTCGCCGTCGCCGTGCCCGCCGTCGTCCTCGGCACCGTCGTCGCCGCCGCCGTTCACCTCACCCTCGCCTGCGGGCGGCGTCGCCGTCGCCGACGCCGTTGCCGTCCTCGCCGTCGCCCTCGGCGCCGTCGTCGCCGACGCCGCCGTCCTCCTCGCCCTCGCCGGCGGGCGGCGTCGCCGTCGCCGTCGCCGTCGCCGTCCTCGCCGTCGTCCTCGGCGCCGTCGTCGCCGACGCCGCCGTCCTCCCCGCCCTCGCCGGCGGGCGGCGTCACCGTCGCCGTCGCCGGCCTCGCCGTCGTCCTCGGCGCCGTCGTCGCCGACGCCGCCGTCCTCCTCGCCCTCGCCGGCAGGCGGCGTCGCCGTCGCCGTCGCCATCCTCGGCGCCGCCGTCGCCGACGCCGTCAACTCCGCCGCCGCCGCCAGGACATCCAGCGGTCCGACGGCGTGCGGGTGTGCGGCACGCAGACGCTCACGGTTCGCCCTGCGCCGGCCGCAGGGCGTGCGCCCTACCGACCAGCAGCGGCGGAGGAGGAGGAGGAGAAGGATGAGGAGGAGGAGGAGGAGGAGGAGGAGGAGGAGCAGGAGGTGGGAGAGGGAGGTGCAGGATTACCCAAGGTTACCCCAAGCCGATTCTGTCAGTGAGGAGGGGGATGACGAAGGATGAAATGAGGAGGAGGAGGAAGAGGAGGAGGAGGAAGAAGAAGATGAGGAGGGTCGAGGATCGAGGATCGAGTTTCGACGAGGAGGAGGAAGAGGAGGAGGAGGACCTGTGTAAACCCAATAGTCATCAACGATGCTGGAGTCAACCCTCCCCCTAAGCTTCTTCGAGGAGAAGGAGGGGCTGGCTGGAGGGACAGCACCCCGAGGGCAGCCGGGAGGTGGACCAGCCGCGGCCTGACCTCAGTCGGCTCCCACATCCGCGCACAGGGAGGAGGAGGAGGAGGAGGAGGAGGAGGAGGAGGAGGAGGAGGATGAGGAAGAGGGCGAGGACGAGGAGGAGGAGGAGGAGGAGGAGGAGGAGGACCAGTGTAACCCCAAGAATCATCAACGATGTTGGAATTTACCCTCTCTCCAAGCTCCCTCTTCGCAGGCTCCTACAACGGTTTGTTTCCACTGAGGGAACTGTGTCGTTGGAAGACAACCGTTTGAAGACCCTGAAGCATGCCAAAACATTGTTCTCGCGATTCTAACGCCACGGATCAACCTGACTGTTGCGTCTTGACGATCCCGAATCGTACCAGAACGACATTCCTGGCACTTTAACACCGCGGATCAACGCAACTGTTGTAATAACCATCATAATCCTGAATCCTTCCGAAAACCATTCCTGGTACTTCGATCGTGGGAATCCTTTAAACCTCTTCAAGTGTTTAAGACGAATGTGCGCGGCGCTGAGGCGAGAGCCACATTTTGAAAACGACCCGCCCTCAATCCGTGAAGCTCTGGCCAGTTTTTAACACGAAGGTGCGCGGCGTTTAGACGAGAGCCACATGTTGAAAAGGAACCGCCCTCAATCCGTGAAGCTCTTGCAGTTCTTTAAAGCGAATGTGCGCGGCGCTCAGGCGAGAGCCACATTTGGAGAACGGCCCGCCCTCAATATGTGAAACTGTTGCCACTTGTTCAGTTTCAGGGTCTTAAATAGTGAGGAAGTCTCAGACGAAACGCCCGGCCCGCCCTAAACATTGGCCCCGAGGTGCGACAGGGAGGAGTTATTCAGAAGGGAAAGAAATGGAGGAGGCAGAGGATTAGGATTAGGATGAGGTGGAGGAGGAGGAGGAGGAGGAGGAGCAGGAGCAGGAGCAGGAGCAGGAGCAGGAGGAAGAAGAAGGTTGGACCTGGGGGCAGGGGATCCCGATTCCATTGCACCCAACAAGGTGACCTCCCCCCGCCCCGCCCTGGAACAGAGGCGGGGGGAAGTGGACCCTGAACCTCGGACATCTCTCGATGCTTTCCCGAGGATCGCGGGTCCCTGCTCCACTCCGTGCCAGTTATGGCCGAAGTCGGGGAAGCCACGACGCCAGAGACCCAGACCCTCTCGGGTCACGAAAAAATCACGACAGACGGACTGCTCTGGCTAGTTTTCGGCCTCCTCGTCGTCGTCGTCGTCGTCGTTGTCGTTGTCGTTGTCGTTGTTGCCGTCATCGTCATCGTCGCCGCCATAATCATCGTCATTTTCACCACCATCACCATCATCATCACCATCATCACCATCATCATAATCATCATCAACATCATCACCATCATCATCATCGTCATCATCTTTTACATCGGAGGTGAGGGGGTGAGATCGAAGTGGAACGGAGAGCCCCCCTACCGGGAAATCGATTTCGGTTTCGTGTTCGTGCGTGCCGTGCGTGCGGGCGAGGCGAAGCTGCGTGGGCGGGCGAGAGAAAGTCTCCTGTGGCTGAGGCGCGGCCGGACCAAATGTTCTCTTCCGGGCGGCCGGTGCTGCGCGGTGTCCCGCCGGTGTCCCGCTGGTGTCCCGTGTGGCTGAGGCGCGGCCGGACCAAATGTTTCTCTTCCGGGCGGCCGGTGCGGCGCGGTGTCCCGGTGTCCCGCCCCGCCGGTGTCCCGTCGGTGTCCCGATGATGATGTTGATGATGATTATGATGATGATTATGATGATGATGGTGATGATGATGGTGATGATGATGGTGATGATGATGTTGATGATGGCGATGATGATGATGATGATGATGATGATGATGATGATGATGATGATGATGATGTTGATGATGATGTTGATGTTGATGATGATGATGATGATGATGATGATGATGATGATGATGATGATGATGATGATGGTGACGTCGATTGTGAGATCGATTGTGATATCGATAGTGAGATCGACTGTGAGATCGATAATAAGATCGTTTGTGAGATCGATAGTGAGACCGAATGTGAAACCGAATGTGAGATCGATTGTGAGATTGATTGTGAGATCGGTAGTGAGATCGATAGTGAGACCGAATGTGAGATCGAATGTGAGATCGAATGTGAGATCGATTGTGAGATCGATAGTGAGATCGACAGTGAGACCGAATGTGAGACCGAATGTGAGATCGATTGTGAGATCGATTGTGAGATCGAATGTGAGATCGATTGTGAGATCGATAGTGAGATCGACAGTGAGACCGAATGTGAGACCGAATGTGAGATCGATTGTGAGATCGATTGTGAGATCGATAGTGAGATCGATAGCGAGATCGATAGTGATATCGATAGTGAGATCGAATGTGAGATCGATTGTGAGATCGATAGCGGGATCGATTGAGTGAGACGTTGGTTCCCCCTCCCCCCGCACCTCCTTACCACCCGCAGGGTGGTCGTATAGGTAATTATATTCATCCTCATCATAATCACCATCATCGTTGTCGCCGTCACTGCCCATCTTCATCACCCTCCGTGGCCATTCTGGCGCTTGCCGCGCGCCGCCACCCCCCGCGCCCCCGCGCTCCTGGCGCGGGCGCGCGCCGGCAGGAGGCGCTCGCGGCTCCCTGAGATCCGACGTTGCGACGCTGCGAAAAATCTGAGGAAAAAGCACTGCCATTATGGCGATCGTTTTTTGTTCACTGTTTTGCCGATCGGCGCGGGCCATCGCACCCTTTTGGGCGCCTGTTTCGAGCAGGTGGAGCCCCATCCCCCATCATGGACGCATTGTTGCAAACAGCCGCACTAAGCAGAGGTCTAGAGCCAGACGCCCCCCATCCCCCCCCCTTCCGCTCAATGTCGAAACGCCGAACATAAAAACCTTTGACAAGACCGATTCCCTTTCGTCGCTCACCTGGGGCCAGTGCCACTCCCCAGGTACCCGACCTCGGGAAACATGCACCGCCGTGACGATTCACGACCCGAGCCCTGTCGATCCAATTTTGCTGCTGCCACGCTCGAGCCGGATCGGCCTGCAGAGAGTCCCGGGGCCCGCAGCCAGGCGAAAACCAGTCGGGCGTGAACAAATGAGCCACGCGAAGAAACGGGGTCGTCTGCGCCGACATTGGCGCGTAAGCTGCCCGCGTGAGGTCGCGCGTAAGCGCCCTCGTTTCCGATGTGGCGTGCCGCGTAAGCCACCGCGTGAGATCGCCACGCCATCTCGCGCAAGACACGTTTTGATCGTCGCGCCAAGCGGCAACGCCCAGATCTCAGGCTCGCAGCTCGCCGCACGGCCTCGGCGGCCAATGTAGATCGCCGCGCGCCGCAAGCGCGCGGCCATGGCGAGCGGCGGCGGCGGCGGCGCCCCCGCCCCGCCCGCCGAGGCGGCGGCGGGCCCCACGGGCGGCGCCGAGCCGCTGAGGAGTCCGGCAGCGGCGCGGGCGCCGTTCCGGAGGCGGTCTGCAGGGGCGCGCCGACAGTCCCGTCGACCCCAGAGGGAGTCCAGCGAAAAGGGGGGTGTGCAATGGATTTGGTGCAATAGGTGCGTGGGGGGTTGCAATAGTTTTTGGGGGCGTGTAGCACCTTCCAGTGCGCAGGTGCCTTGCCTGAGCTTCGCGTGCCACACTTCAGCTGCAACACGATGCTACAATCCACTTCTCTGACGCAGTGCATTTGCAAGACAACTGTCCCAAATCTATTGCACCACCCCCTTTCAGCTGGACTCCCTTTTGGGTCAACCGACGGCAGGGGGGGCGCACGGGCCCAGATCTCCCGCGACAGGGCAGGGTTTTCTGACGTCGTCGTCGGTTCCCGGACGTTTTCCAGCCTCGGAAGGCCTAGGGGCCTAGGAGGAGGAGGAGGAGGAGGAGGAGGAGGAGGAGGAGGAGGAGGAGGAGCAGGAGCAGGAGCAGGAGCAGGAGCAGGAGCAGGAGCAGGAGCAGGAGCAGGAGCAGGAGCAGGAGCACGAGGGGAAGCATCGGCCCCCAGTTGCCCATTCATCGCCAGCCGAGGCCCAGGCGCCCCGCCCCGCCCCTGGGTCGCGCGCGGTGTCGCTGTCGGGGGTCCGGCGCCGATCGATCGGCGATGCATCGCCGACTCCAAGACACCCTGACTTCGAATCCGCCGTACGTTGGGCGATCTCGTGAGTAGGGCAGGAATTGCTCCGCCCCACGTGTCGAGCTCCTCCGATGCCGATGTGCGCTGTGCCCTCGCTGTTTCCGCCGCACTGCTTGTGCGGAAGTATCCGCCCCTATTTTTCTGAGGCGGGGATTTCCGCCCTACTGTTTTGCACCGTTTAGGAATACTTGGAGTGCATTTCCGGCACAATCTTGCGTCGGAAAGACAGCCAAAGCACTGCGGATCCGGAGTCGGGGCAATGCCCTCGCCCTGGAAACCTGTGCTCCGAGGCGGGAATTTCTACATGACCACCGCCTGGAGGGTCAGTTTTCGGAGCCTCGGCAGACGGTGGGTATGGACATATTCGGGCCCCGGGGGGCCGAAATATATCCGCCTCCCGCCGCCCGCTGGGGCACCAGGACGTTGGTTCCCAGGCGGTGGATATGAATAAACCCCCGCCTCGCAGGTGCTTCCCCGGTCGTCTCCCCTCAGGTCCGTCACCGTGGGCAGCGCGTGCTCCAGGGCAGCCACCGCGGAGGCCATACTGGGCAGCATCCTGCCCAACGTGGGCCAGGCGGTGCTCGGCCGCCTGCGGCAGGAGAAGGCTCGGGGGCTGCCGGAAGTGTCCCCTGGGCAAGGGCCCAGGAGGTGTCTCCAGGGTCTCCAGGGATAGGGTCAAGTCGGGCCTTGCCCTCTACAGGAGGACTGTTCAACAATAGTCAAACCATAATCTGGGGACGATTTTTGGAGTACTGTATATTGAATCGCTTCGCTCATTCCGCCGGCCCGTATTGTGCCATCGCGGGGTCTTGGGGGGTCTTGGGAGCCCTTGGAAGCTTCGTGGGAGCTTCTTGGGAACTTTGGGAGGCCTCGTGAATGGCTCTGGGTGGGCTCTCTTGGTGGTCTCTTGGGGGGTCTGCCTGGCCTCCTGGGAGCTTCCTGGGGGTCTGTTGGGGGCCTCTTGGGGCTTTCTTGCGGCCTGTTGGGGGCCTCTTGGGGCTCTCTTGGGGGCTTCGTGGGGCTACTTGGGGGTTTGTAGGGGCATTTCGGGGGCGTGTTTGGGCGGGAGGCTCAAAATTTCCGTTCAGGTTGCCCCTGTGGACCTCAATCATGGGGCCGTCTTGGGGCCTCTTGGACCGTCTTGGTGTCTTGGGCCTTCTTGGAGCGCTCTTGGGCCGTCTTTGAGCGGTCTTGAGGGTCTCTCGGGCCGTCTTGGGGTGATCTTAGGGGCCTCTTGGACCGCCTTGAAAGGTGTGAAAGACGAAGAGGCGGATATGTTAAAAATGCACGCTTTCCTAAGGGAATGAGGCGATTTTTGCTTGCGGGAGCCCTCTTGGGACGCCGCTTAGGGACCTGTTGGGGCGTCTTGAAGGCCTGTTGGGCCGTCTTGAGGCCATCGTAGGCGTTTGGGAGTGATATTTCGGCGTCTCCCGGCTCTCTTGAACCGTCTGGAGGGCTTCTCGGGCCCCTCTTGGACCGATTTGGAGCCCTCCTGGGCTCCGAAAAAGAGTCTTGAGGGTTTCTTGGGCCTTCTTGGAGCGCTCTTGGGCCGTCTTTGAGCGGTCTTGAGGGTCTCTCGGGCCGTCTTGGGGTGATCTTGGGGGCCTCTTGGACCGCCTTGAAAGGTGTGAAAGACAAAGAGGCGGATATGTTAAAAATGCACGCTTTCCTAAGGGAATGAGACGATTTTTGCTTGTGGGAGCCCTCTTGGGAAGAAGCTGAACTCGGACCCGGCTGAACTCGGACCCAGCTGAACTCGGACCCGGCTGATCTCGGACCCGGCTGATCTCGGACCCGCTGAACTCGGACCCGGCTGAACTCGGACCCGGCTGATCTCGGACCCGGCTGATCTCGGACCCGGCTGATCTCGGACCCGGCTGAACTCGGACCCGGCTGATCTCGGACCCGGCTGATCTCGGACCCGGCCTGCCTCCGGCGCTCTTCCCGGCTTCCGGCTGGGGTTCTCCCGCCCGGCGCTCTTCCCGGCCTCTGGCCTGGGTGCTCCCGGCCCGGCTCCAGCTCGGCGCTCCCCCGGCCGGCGTCTCCCCGGCGTCTCCCACCCGGCTGATCTCGGACCCGGCTGATCTCGGACCCGGCTGATCTCGGACCCCGCTGAACTCGGACCCGGCTGATCTCGGACCCGGCTGATGTCGGACCCGGCTGATGTCGGACCCGGCCTGCCTCCGGCGCTCCTCCCGGCTTATGGCTGGGGTTCTCCCGCTCGCCGTTTCTCCCGGCCTCTGGCCGGGGTGCTTTCCGCCCGGCTCCACGGGCCGGCGCTCCCCCGGCCAGCGTCTCCTCGGCGTCTCCGCCCCTGCAGATCTCGGACCCGGCTGATCTCGGACCCGGCTGATCTCGGACCCGGCTGAACTCGGACCCGGCTGATCTCGGACCCGGCTGATCTCGGACCCGGCCTGCCTCCGGCGCTCCTTCCAGCTTCCGGCTGGGGTTCTCCCGCGCCCGGCGTTTTCCCCGGCTTCTGGCTGGGGGTGCTCCTGGCCCGGCTCCACGCCGGCGCTCCACTGGCCGCCGGCGTCTGCCCGCCATCCCGCCGTCTCGGACCCGGCTGACCTCGGACCTGGGCCCGCCCGGGCGTTCCCGGCGCGCCCGTCATCTCTGGCTGCACTCGGACCCGGCTCATTTCGGACTTTTCTGAACTTTGAGTCGGTTGATTTCGCTACTGGCTGATCTCGGACCCACCTCCTGCCGGGTGCGATCCCGCCGGTCCTCCCGACTTCCGCCTCGGGTTCTTCCGGCCGGCGCCTTCCCGCCTCCGGCGCTTTCCAGGTTGGCGTTTCTTCGGCGGTCTGGCGCTGTCTCGGCTCTCGGCCGGCGCGTTACCTGCGCTCACCCGGCGGCTCCGTCGCCTCCCCAGCGCTCTCCTGGTGCCTCTATGTCCGCGGCGAGCACGCGAGAGCCCCATGTTGAAAAGTAACCTCCTTCCATCCCTGTCACTGCGACAGACGTTCACGACGATTGTCCGCGGCCATCAGGCGAGAGTTCTATTTTGGAAAGGAACCTCCCTCCACCCGTGTAACAGACTTCAAGACGATTGCACGCGGCGCTCAGGCGAGAGCCGCATTGTGAACACAAACCGCCCTCCATCGTGTAAATGTTTCACAATAGTACACTTCAGGATCATACATGGCGATCGTACATGGCAAGGGAGTCTCTGGCGAAACGCCTGCCTCCCCCCCCTACACACACGTTCCGTGGCGCGCCAGGGAGGATTTCTTTTTAAGGGGAGAGGATGGAGGAGGACGAGGGGGAGCGGGAGAACATCAATAACGGGAGCCGTGGCCGTCTAACGGGCTCTGTGGCCGCCCTGTTCGTGCGTGTGGGCGGTTTTGATGGTGTCCTGGGCCCAGGGCGGGCGGCCCTACAGCACTTCCTCACTTCTTTCACATGGGCCACAGGAGCATGCTCAGACGCCCACGCCGTACAGGCATGCACTTGGATACTGACGTGCATTTTCGCGCGGTGGTTCTCAGGCTCAGAATGGCCATGGCAATGTCGACGGTGATGATGGCAGCGACGGCGGACTACGATTCCGACGGCGACGACTGCGGCCACGGAGACCATCACGACGACGACGTCGACGACGACGACGTCCTCTTCCTCCCTCCTCCCTGCTCCTCCTTCCTTCCCTCCTCCTTCCTCCTTGCTCCTCCCCTCCCGTCTCCTGTGCAGGAGACTCGGCGGCAGCTGTAATCCCGGGAATGGGTTCCAGGGGATCGTTCTCCGGCCACTGTGGCCTTGCACTCTGTGTCTTTCAGGTGTGGCATGCGTTGTCATGCATTGCGTTGTCATGCGTTCCATTGTTGTGCAATGCAGCGCAGCTCCTTCCAAGTTTCCATTGCATTACCTTGCATTATTCTGCCTTCTTGACTTCGATTTGCGATGCATTGCATTCCGTTGCGATCCATCGCATTCGCTTTGAGTCCTTTGTGGGTTTTCCATTATGCCCTCCGCCTACACCTTTATGTAGTCGCACCATTCCCAACCCAACCGCGTTTTTTTCACAGGCATCTTGGGTCAAGCGTTTCCTTTCGATCGCACTGCCTTCTGCCAGCCATCCGGTCCCATGGCATCCGCGACCTTCCGAGCGCTGCCCTCTTGCTTGATTAGCCTACGGCGTCGAGAAGACAAGCGCGACGTTGCCTTCCAGGTGGCAGCCGGTCTGGGCATCGAGCCGACGTGGTTGGCGGGCACCGATGGGGATTCCCTCAAGGCACGGAGTGGGTATGCTAAGCGTTGCCAGGGCGGGCCGGGCGGCCGGGTGCTTTGCTCCTGGTTCGACGCCGCACACAAGACGCGCCGTATTCGGTATGTGCGAAATGCCAAGTCGAATTGGGGCACGCATTGGGGGACCTTGGGCTGTCTGATGAGCCACGAGCGTGCTTTGGCGCAGCTCGAAGACGCTCCTGCCCTCATCGTCTTGGAAGACGACATCCGCCGGGCAATTGATGCCAAGGAGGCCTGCGCGATGATTGCGCAGGCTCTCCGTTGCATCCAAAAGGACCACAATGATTGGCTGATCCTGTGCCTTGGCTGCTCTACCACTCGGTGGTCTGGGCCCTTGCGCAAGGTGCGCGGAGGGCCGGCTGGTTTGTGCTACGCCCGGCAGGCTTACCAGAGCCATGCGTTCGTGATCTCGCAGGCGGGGGCGGAGATTTACGGTGAATACCTTCGCAAAGGCTTCCCTGCGGACAACGCGCTGCTGAACATGGTGCGTCGGTGCCCCAAGATGTGCTTTGCCCTCGACCCTGTCGTGCTTACGCAGGAGCAGAAGCTCACGCAGAGCGACATCCGCGAGTCCACCGTGGCCTACCGGCCCGGCGCTCCGCGCGCACGGAAAAGGGGCCACGCCAGCATCGCCAGGAGAAGGGCGTCGTTGCCGCAGGCGCAAGCGGCTGGGAACGCAAGCAGGAAGGAGTGGCTCCGAAAGACGCGCCGAGCCAGCGCCAGACGCAAATCCAAGCGCACGCAGACCAAGGCCGGTTGTCGCGGGTCCCACACCCTGTGCATGTCGGGGTGGGCGTCTTGCTCCGCGGGCGCCCAGGCAAAAGTTGCGCGCCCCAGCGTCCGGGCGGCCATCGTGGAGCGATGGGGCCAGGCGACGGCGCTTTGCTTGGCCTGCCAGACAGCATCCTCCAGCCTCCGGCACAACCCGCCGCCGCACATTGTCCCCCACTTGGCATTTTCCTATGAGGCGTAAGGGTGGCCCCGTCAATGTGTTCTCAGCGTTTCGTGCTCCATGGGCATGTCATGGTCCTCATGGGGGGCCTTTGCAAGGATGCCATGACTGCAGATTCGCGCGGCCATGGCCTGCTAATCGGCTCTCCTGGTCTGCCGCGAGTGTATCCGCTTCGACTCTTTCCCCGACCGCGCGCGCTCTTGTGCGCGTGCAGGGGCTCTCTCAGGCGCGGCCGCGCCACCCGGTGGCTTTCCGCCTCTTTCCTGCCCGCCATGGAGTCCCCAGCGCGCGGGCGCGCGCGCGCGCGATGGCCATGCCGCCCAGATGGGACGCACGGATCGCTCTTCGTCTCCATGTCTCACCCCGCGCATGCCATTCCCTGCGCCGCCATTTCCCGCGCGCGGAGC